CAGTTTGTTCTTCCCGCATTATGACGTCATTTTGTTTATCTATAACTGAATATAATAGACTGAATAGACAACGGCAAAATCTTATCTATTTGTTAACTACTTTTTCATCAGCCCTAGTGAATAAAACATGGTCATACCCTTCATTCATGGTCGGTACGAATAGGTGCAGTTATTTGGGGTAAAAAGTTCAAATAAATTATATTTAATTTAATTCAAAGTCATATATACTCAATATTAGATTAAGATGGCATAAAGTATTGTCGAAGATAAGTCGGACACAAACCGCGAGTCCTCGAAACAAACTATGCATCAGAATCACTATTATGCATACATTGTACATATATATTTCACTAACCTGAGATGCTGTCACATCGCTATCTGATGCGTGAACAGCATACGAAGCATTGTCCTTTGTAAAGTTTAGTTCAAACATTAGCGGCATTAGTTATGTTTGATCAAACCTGATGTCTGTTAAAGCTAAAAATAAAAACATGAAGGTCATGCATACAGAGTAGTTCGTTTGCATACAGAGTAGTTCGTTGTTCTCGCAAAATACTCCAAACTACAATCTTTGACAATAAACCGCATTATAACGGAGCATTTAAGAAAATCCAGTTTTACCATGTATTCAAGTGCATTTTACGATACCCCTTTCACTCGTTTCAATGTTGCCTTTTGGTGAACAAACATTGGTTTTTTGGGAGCCATTTTTGAATGGAAGAAAATTGGGCCATTGGCCAATGAAGTGATATGAAATTACAGTATAATATGTCTGACTCAGATGCAGTTTTTCCGCGACTTCCCAGTCACTCTCTTTTTTTGAGACAGAATTCCTACCGGTGAATATATACAGTGCCCCAAGGCCACAATACAGTGAAAATTGTATTAATCTAATGTTCGAGAACATTTCTTCACCGTAGTCGTGGACTGACATGCTGCAGTATATGGTAAAAAATGTTAGCCAGACGTTCCAGCGTATTCTGACAGGACAAGATATTTTTTAGTTAACCAGTTTCTTACGAAGCAGCAAGCACTGCACTAAGTCTAAGAGGCAATTTTCTCGTACACTCATGAGTTTTTCAAAAACCTAAAGTTGCACTCGTCCGTCGCACTCATTTAATTTTGATAGTCAAACTTTGATTCCAAATTGCACTCGAAACCACGGTACTACCTATAGGCTTAGGAGGTTTAAGTACGTGTTACATTGCCTCCTCCGCAGGCCCTTCGTTGGGCACACCGGCCCAGTGCAGTGCAATTGCGATCTATATAGATCAGTCATCAGTGGCTGTACGTAACAAAAAATTAATCTCCTCTTCAAATGGCTAATGTTAATCAGTGGCGTGCTGGGTACTATTTTTCTGGGGGGGCCAGTGGGCTGTCAACAAATATGCGCCCCTATAATTTTTCGCTTGATAAACGAGGGCCGAAGGCACGAGCCGAGTGCCGCAGGTGCGAGGTTTGTCTAGGGGGGTCTGGGGGCATCCCCCCAGGAAAATTTTTGAATTTAGAATCTCTGAAATGCCATTTCCTGGACTTTGGGGGAAGATTTGACAGAAATCTGATGGTCAGGAAACGGCATTATAACGTGTCGAAATTTGTAATTTTGTTTGAATTTAGTAGTAGTAGTACTTATATTATGCAATGCTAACAACTTCCAGCGATTAATCTAATCTCAATTCTATTCTCTACTGATCGAGTGATCTGAATACAATTACACCATACAGCTCTTTTATACAATAACACACGGACCCCACGCATATGCATTTTAAGGTTTAATTCCCTGCCTGGCTGCCAAAAGGGCGCGTTTCAGCATTATTTCATTACTCGCATTAGTCGTGATGTTTCTTGCGCAAACAACTAAATTGCGTACACGACTTTACATTATCATAACTTAAACTATCTAATTTGCGCCGCTCTTGTGATTCGTGAAGCATAATAAAGGGCATAATACCAGCAAAAAAGGGCATAATTCCCGTGATCGCTTCGAAACCTGACCAATATTCCGGTGATGAGACATTGCGTGTGATCACAGTTCATGTTTCTATATGAACGATTTCGTGTGAGCCGTGAGGTAGCAAATTAGCAAATACGGTTAGACAAAATAGTCTGTATAATTTAATATATCGTCTATTCGCTTAGTCTGTTTTATAAGCCTCTTTTCTCGGCGGAAAAGATCGAAGCGTTTTTCCCCGCCCCTTTTTCATTTTTGCGCCCTGCAAGAATTGCCAGCTGGGGGGGGGCATGGCCCCCCGGCCCCCCCTGCCAGCACGCCACTGTAATGTTTACACGATGGTTAAGTTTTCGGCGAAAAAACAAGTATTGGCATATATATAGGCCTACATGCATTATTATATACATGCATTATTGTCTTACGCATAGTTGTTCCTTCAGCTTCACCAGTTGCCGCCACGACATACGCTTGACCATCTACAGATGGAAAAAACTGATCATTAATAAAAACTACAGGTTATCGTCATGTAACTTGTTCACTCCTTTATATACGCAGTTGTCAGTTGGAGTTCTCTAACCAGATTTACGAGAACAATAAGACACATGGACTGATCATGCATGCAAAGACTCTCAAGCAAAGGATAACTGATTGGCGAGAAAAATATGGAGGGTCATTGATGACCTATACTGTAGAGTACGTACGTAGAATATTGTTAAATTGATAATTCTTTACCTTCAGATACAGTGTCGTTTGTTATATATACGTATCTACCCTCAGATGTACTGTTGTAAGACCACAATCGACAAATAATCTGTTCTTCATCACCAGTGCGGGCAACGTGCGAGAGCGGAAAAACAATAGGAGCTATTGAGAAACATTTGAAAACACAGATTTCGCAAAACTAAAGTCTCAGCGACAAAACAAACTAAAACAGACAACATACGGACCAAATATCCTTATATTTAAGTTAAAGTGGCCCAATATAACACCCAAGCTATAGATAGTACGTCACTTTTGATGATGCAAACAAGTAAGTTATTTTCATTGCGAGAATATATTTTTTAGATTTTCTGATTAATCTTTTTAGATTTTCTCAACAACATTGCAAACAACAAGCAAGTCACAAAGTGCTTAATGGAGTGTACGAGTGGTAACTGCTGTCAGAACTTAAACAAACCTTCATCGTGATGATCTAAAGAAACTTCATTGTCCGCTGTACGTTTGCTGTGTTTTGTTCCCATTATCTACAAACGTAAAAAAAAATTTATGCGATATATCGTACACGAGAAAAGGCTCGATTCCATCAGCTTGATCCCCGGCCGAATTACATTCACGACCCAACATTTCCACATTGGCTTTCTCGTGTCTTCATGCATCATGGCCGTGGGTCGTGATCTGTTAAATGAAGGTGGGTCTTCACTATGGTCTTCACTCTTCAGAGGTTTGGCACAAGGGCGGCGGAACATTTTTTAGGGGGGGGGGGCTAAATTTAAAAAAGGTTACCGTAGTTTTTGACTAAATGGAAATACAAACCGCAAACGGCATAGCGTGTAGTGATTCCTCCTACCTTTGAAAAATTGTTCAAAATCTACAAAAATACGGATATGCAATTATGCATAGATAATTTGATCTCATGACTCAATGACTCATGATGAATTAATGAGCAATCGAAGCAAATTAACGACCAATTATAAGCCGCAAAAAGCTTGAAGATATCATCTGCGTGATAAATTTTGGCTGACTGGACATAAAACATAATATTAAGCATTTCAATGATTTAAAAATGTTAAACAAACTAGAAATACAATTGTATTCTATAGTCCATACTCTCGCTTTTGACACAAAGAGGACAAACACACTACAAATGCAATGCTTGCATCAGAAGTTCTTATTCTATGTTCTATTCGAAATCGTGGGTTAGAATCAATGAATGATTGCAGCTCTAGACGAAATTTTGATCTAGACAAGAAGAACGAAATCCATTCGGCTGGAAAGAGCATCTTAAAATGAGTAAAAACTATGCAAAGTTTGGTTGCGAATTGTTGTAAAATGAGACAAATTAATATAGCCCGGTGAAGTTCGCAAATTTTATGTATTTATCACTTATTTACTGAGACCGAGGGAAACAGTGTGTTTTGTGGACCCGAGACCGCCGTTGTTGCCCGAGGCGAAGCCGGCGGTCGAGGGGCCACAAAACACACTGCTTTCCCGACGTCTCAGTAAATAAGTGTTTTGTTATATAGTATATAGGTGTCAAAGTATGAATAATTCACCGGTTATTGAAGTGAACTTAATTTGAAACCAAAACTGGATAAATGAAACGCCGTAAATGTTTAGTAAAAAGTTTTAAAAATGAACTTTGGAAGTTCATGGTTGACACGCATGTGTATTGCACCCATTTTATTATTGACCGGTCAATAAATGTTTGATTGCGGACCGGTTGCCGAACATGACGTTTTGTGGACCGGCACGTGACACGGTTTTGACCAATCGGCAAACAGAAAAATTGAACTTTGACACTAACTATATAACAAACTGTATTTGCATTGCGCGCGGGAAAAATAACCATTTTTGAGCCGAAAGTGGTTATTTTACCGCGCGTAATACAAATATATACAAAATTTGCAAACTTCACAGGGCTATATTTTCTTCATTTTACAACATTTAGCAACCAATCTTTGCAGTTTTACTCATTCTAAGACGCTCTTTCTAGCTGTGGTGTTGGATTTCGTTTTTCTTGCTTTGATAAAAATTTCGTTTATACTCTCTATAGGAAAGTCGGAAACTTCTTCACTTAAAGGGGAAGTCAAGTCCGTTCTGCGCATCGGTTCTGCGCATAACAATGTGAGGACCTCTAATGTGAACATTGCCCAAATTTCGAATTTTTCTGAACATAAACTATATTTCATATTCATTTGGAAGCATAGCGAATCAAAATGGTGTTAGATATTCCGACAATACATCATATTTTAAAAAATACAGCAGTTCAAAATGTAAACAAACCGTTTGTTTACATTACGGACTTGACTTCCCCTTTAACGTTTATTTTTCCCATTTCCTAAATAACCACAAAGGCCAGTACTCTGACATTGTAGTATTCACTGTATAGATAAAAGATATACTCAGGGTGAAAGAAAATCACTTTACATTCACTTGGTCACAAAGTAGGATATTTTCGTTTGCATATTAGCCGGCGATCAGTAATTTGACGACTTTGTAGTTTGTATAAATGGTCTCTCATTTATGCATTCTTCGTGTATTTTTTGGGGGGATAAGCCCCCCACTTTTACTTCTGGGGGGGGGGGGGGTAAAGCCCCCCCCTAGCCCCCTGTTCCACCGCCATGCACTGGTTTGGCAGCCCTGAAAGTATATAACGGCAACAGTCTGTTTTCCGCATCGACCAGTACGAGTAAAAGAAGTGCCAGTTTGTGTGTCAGTTCCTGGTGTACCAACAACAAAAGAAATCCCGAACTATATATATCCTATTATATATAAAGGAGTTAATGCTTTTATTGTTGGTCGATAATTTGTTGTTTTAAGCTTTGGAACATTCAAATATACATGATAACTGGTTCCTGTAGGTTTTCCGTCCTCCTGGAAACTGCAAACTCTCATAAATAAAGAGTAAATTATATTAGTACGCGATGCTGTAACTCGGAGAATACGCAGCATGAGCTCCACTTTGAATTTACTATATGAGTAAATTCTTAAACACGTCCGAATTTACATTATGATAAATTTGCGGCACATTTTGAATTTATCATAATAATAAATTCGCGGCACCTAACACTAACCCTAACCCCAACTCTAACCACTAACCCCTAACCCTAACTTTTTTAACTTTATAATTTTTTTAAAAATCTAACTTTTTAAACTTTTTTTGCTTTTTAAAATTCTTTTAAAACTTTTTTAAAACTTTTTTAAAAACTACAGTAGTATTACCCCCCCCCCCCACCATAGCGGAGGAAGTAATTAGTATGCAGGAGCGAATAGGATGGCGAAAGTAATTAATATGCAGGAGCGAATAGAGCGCCGGAAGTAATTAGTATGCAATACCGAAATCCGTGTAATTAGTATGCAGGAGCGGGTCCAATAGAGCGGCGGAAGTAATTAGTATGCGGAAAGCACTGGAAGTAAGGAGTATGCAATGACGTCATGACCATAGAGATTATAAATAACACTAGAGGAGGCATCGAGTTTAAAAATTGGGAACGCAGCTAATGGGGGGCAAATTCAAGTCCCGGATATAAAATCGTGCTCTCATTGGCTGATTTGAAACTCGTCACCAATGGGAACACGAATACACATCCGGGACTTGAATTTGCCCCCCAATAGCCGCGTTCCCTTTTTTTTACTGAATTAAGATTACAATGCCTCCTCTAGTGTTATTTATAATCTCTATGGTCATGACGTCATTTTCAAAATGGCGTACAACATTGAAAAATATTTTACAGGAATTTACAATAAAAATGTTTCAGTAATTACAATGTTTTTTAAAGTTTGTGCCAGATGCATCCACAAAAGGTTAATTCGCCACATTCCAATGAAAATTCAAATGTCAGCTTGGCCAGTGTTTCGATCTTTTAGTATTTCCGTACAATCTTTATGGATCGTTGTTTGACAGCAACGGGTTTTGTTTAGTTCTTGTCCGTTGTTTTTGTTCTGTAAGCACAAGTAGCAGAGTTCTTTGTCCGAGAATGGTGTTCTACAGTACCCGCACCGTACGGTTCCGATGGCTGTGCCGTTGTATTGCGCCGCCCACATTTGAAAACATCGACAATGAGCTTTCTGTTGACAGCATTGCACGGTCATCGCAAGTAGTTCCTCCCCGTCCATCTGTCCAAAACAGAAATAACACTGTCCCGGTTCTGCGGTATTTTTCGCCAGGATTCCAAATAAAGGTGCTTGTCTGTATTACGTCTTTGGGCGCTGGTAAAATTCCTATACATTCCATTTCGATGTGTAACTGATGATTATGGGGAAGTGTATTTAGAGGTGTACGTACACGTACAAAGTGTACGTACACGGTGTACGTACACCCCGTACATATACCATGTATGTACATGGTGTACGTACACGGTGTACGTACACGGTGTACGTACACGCCCGTACATATACCATGTATGTACACGGTGTACGTACACCCCGTACGTACACCCCGTACGTACACCCCGTACGTACACCCCGTACGTACACCCCGTACGTACACCCCGTACGTACATCCCGTACGTACACCCCGTGCGTACACCCCGTACGTACACCCCGTACGTACACCCCGTACGTACACCCCGTACGTACACCCCGTACGTACACCCCGTACGTACACCCCGTACGTACACCCATGAACTACGTCATAACCATGCCCATCTCTGATTGGTTAGCTGTGTTATAATGGAGAATATAGATAGAGCGGAAATATGTATAAGCATGGGCATGGAACAGTCTTACGGGACGCAAGGACGCGTTAAAATGCGTCCTGAGCAAGGTCCCTGGTCCTGTTTAACAATATATATATAAGCATGGGCACGGGACAGTCTGCGTAAGCGCGTACGGTAATATTGAGAATATAGATTTCGGCTATTAAAAAGGACACAAGAAATAGAAATGGTTTGATATGCAAATGAGACGTTTTTATTCTTTTAATATATAGTGGTTCTTAAAAGAACCGTTTTTTGTTTTTTACCATAACCACGTCGCAAACGCTTCGACATCGACTTTAGGGCAATGATGGTATGCGTTTGGGGTGAGATGGTGTCCGCAGGTTTCTACCCATCCAAGATCCTTGAAAAGTAGTTCGGTTTTAGGACACCCAGAAGATTCGAGATTGATGGAGGGAATGCCCACTCGACGTAACAGATCCTTTTCGAAGTGACCCCCTTTATACGCCACCAATGCATCTGGTTCACTGAAGAATTCTTTAATGATATCGGGTAAACGGAATAGGGGGACTGTTGGTTGGTTGGGCGGTGATGTGAGTCAGATTTTGTGAATATATCGTTCCACGAAACGCGCTGCTTTTTTATCTTTCTCGCTAAGGTCCTTCCATTGCAAGCCGAGGTCGAAGAGTGTGGATGTGGCATAGGTTTGTCCTTTTCTGATGCATGCAAGTTCTTTGCAGTAAAATATCTTGTTAATAGTAAATCCGTCCATATCTATGACACCAGTGATGTTGTCCATGTTGGAATGGAGGCTGTATTTTTTATTAGTGTATTTATAGCTTTTTGGGTACGTACCCGAGGTACGTATCTCTGACACGTACCTAGGATATGTATCTAAACTATGTAGGATAATAATTTTTTTTAAATAATAATTTGAAAAAACTAGGAATATAGGGTTTATGAATATATTAAATGAAATGAACTATTGCTCATTTGCTCATGAGTACATGCTCATAGTTGCTCATTTGCTCATGAGCACATGCTCAACTGCTCATACGTTCAAAAGGGTACGATGGAAAGTATGGCTTAATCCTACCACAAGCATTGTTAGATTTCCAGTGCAATTGATGCGATTAGCAGATGAGCATGTGCTCATGAGCAGTTATGAGCAGATGTGCATGGACTTATGAGCAGATGTGCAGTTATGAGCGGGTGCTCATAGTTGCTCATTGGCTCATGAGCACATGTTCATCTGCTCATATAAAAGTACAGTGGTGCTGAATAACAGGGCATTTTTACACAGACCTTGCTAGCGAAATGATCTGCAAATTCTGCGGAAAAACATTTAATCGAAGTTTCAATCTACGTCGACACGAAAATAAGTACTGTCCATTGAAGGATCAACAGAGAGAAATGTTAGAAACAGAAAGTCAGACAATGGACTCTGAAGGCGATTCTTCGACCGCTTCAACTCAAGGTTCTGAAAGTCCGGTGACAACAGACAATGAGACGGAAACTGAGGATGAAGAAAACGATCCTTGGATGCCAATGGAAGAAGAAGCAATGCAAAAGTATAAAACGGGTTTTGAGGAAATGAAGATGAATTTGATACACAGTGGTCTGGATGAGCAATCCGCTGGAGAAAAAGCTTACTCCGATATTCTGCCTAAGCTCCAGAAAGAGCTAGAGAGTATCTATATGGATCGTCTTTCGTGGATGAAACAACGAAAGAACGATCCAGTGCATAAGAAAATAATGCAAACAAAAGATGCCTTTGTGGACAATGATCATTTTGATCCCGAAGAAGCTATGCAAGCAGCTGTTGATAAGAGAAAATTTCTTATCAAAAAACTTTTAAAGGATTATACTTTTACAGAGGAAAGCGATGATGAAGACCATTAAATATTTTGAGGACTTTTTTCAGATAGTGATGACCAGTGAATTTGTGTAATGCATATGTGAAATAAAATGTCTTGTTTCATTGCAGTAGTAAGTAATAAGAAAAAAATTAATGAAACCACACCTTTTCTCGCGTTCGAGCCAGTGGCGTAACTACTATGGGCTCAGACCGTGAGAACCCGGGGGCCCCAACCTAAATGGGGGCCCCCAGGCTTAGGCGATAGAGCAAAAACATTGGTCAGGGCCTCTGATATGTTACAATGTCGTTTTATGACCATCAGAATTCTGTAAAATCTCTCCCCAAAGTCCAGGAAATGGCATTTCAGAGAGCCTAAATTCAAAAATTTTCCGGATGACCATGCCCTGGACCCCCTAGAAAATTCGTGCATATACGGCGCTCGACTCGTGCCTTTGGCACTTCTACTAGGGGGGGGCCTTCGAAAATTTTGAACCGGGGGCCCCCTGATATAACGTTACGCCACTGGTTCGAGCCTTATGAGCATGTGGTCATGAGCAGTTATGAGCAGGTGCTCATATGCTCATGAACACATACTCATCTGCTCATACGATCAAAAGGGTACGATAGAAGGTATGGCTCAATTCTGCCACAATTTGAGTGCAATTGATTGGATGAGTAGATGAGCATGTGCTCATGAACAAACGAGCACCTGCTCATAACTGCTCATAAGCACATAACTGCTCATAAGCACAGAACAACAAAACAGACCTCTCAGAGTATCAAGCCATCTTGGGGTACCTCTACTATTGGAACAAAGAACACTAGTTCACCACTACGTTGTTTAAATATTACATTTGTTAAGATCACTTTCAATAAAATATTTTTCAAATATTTATCGTGTATTTCACAAAATACGTATAAAAGACACGTGCCCGAGGCACGTATCCTGACCACGTATCTGGGCACGTATTCTGGTCACATATCTTGGCACGTGTCCGAAGCGCGTATAAGTCACGTATCCTGGTCACGTATCCTGGCACGTACGACTGTTTTTGGCCATCACCAACAGCTGTGACGGTATAGTGGTTATTACATTGCGTTGTGGCCGCAATGACCCAGGTTCGATTCCTGGTCACGGCACCATTTTTGCCTTACTTTTTTTATTTGCTGCACAAACAATATTTTTGTCCTGTTTTAAATTAACCTCCACCATGAAATTGAAAGCCAACAAAAAAATAAAAACTTTGAAAAATTAAAAACATAATTTCTGCATACCTGTATACTCATTACTTCCGGGGCTTTCCGCATACTAATCACGGCTTCCGCCGCTCTAAAAACTATAACCTCTGGTTCTGTACAAATTGAAAATGCAGAAAGGAAAGCTTGGGTGAGTCAGGTCGTGATTTCTTTTATTGTTGGTAAAACAACACGTAAAAGGCACCGCATCTTTTACTCGGGCTGTTGCTGTTACTTTCGGGGCTGTCAAACCCTGTGGTCAAACCGATGTCTATGAAGACTAGTGCTAGAGTTCCGGAAAAAAAACTAGCTAGGGTCTTCATTGGTCTCAATCACAAAACTACATGAAGGTTAATTCCGCTGTTATTCAGTACAGGCTTGCTTTAGTTTCGGCATGTACACCGATTAATTTTTTTGTCCTTGTCAACGCAATATTCATTTGGCATAATTTTTTCTCTACTAGTCTCCAACCTTGTGTGTTCTTTCTGTCTCTTGGTTAGTCTCTCAATCTCTACCCATTGGCATTGCTCTTTCCATGTTCCTACCATTTTAACATTACTTTGGCTTTGCCTATTCCTCGATCCTTCTTTGAATGTGACAATTAGTCCTCGTACTTTTCTGCTTCACTCTAGTAATAGACTATCATTCTTTTTCGATTTTTCTCTTCTATGTTTTCCTTATCCATTCACTGTTGGAGTTTTCCATGTAACATGCTACTCTTGTTTCCTCTATTCCCTTTGTCATATACAATCGTTCATCATTATTTGACTTCCATGCATATAGTAGCTCTTTTACGTTACATATACATTTACGACGTAGGCTGCCACTGGTATTACGCCGATGGAGAGGTGGAGTGAGTTTTTGGAGGGAAAAAGTATGTGTTAGAAGAGTGTTCGCAAGGACTCAAAGAGACTTTAATTGAGTCGATTGAAAACGAATATATCATATCATTATATGGCTTTTAAAAATTCTCTATTCTGATTGGTTGACAAGCGGTCCATAAAAACCCATATCCGGACGGTGGTCCGTATTTTCCGTAGCTGGACCGGTGTCCCGGGGAAATTTCTGCTTTGCAAACAGAAAATATTTTTGCTTTTTAATTTTCCAATTGTGTGTCATTAAAATTTACAGATAAAAATTTCAAACAACCAAATTGTTTTTGATTGAGCATGCATGCTTACCGCGTATATTGTTACCCATTGAAATTGACGATAGCCGATTTAATTCGCGCGAAAAGCATATGCTCACAGACTCAGTTCAGCCATATAATAAACCGATTATTGACCTCGCTTGTTCGAACTGTACTGTGAAATATCAGACCTCTGTTTTTTGCATGGACCTCGCTCCTTCGTCGCTCGGTCCATACTAAAAACCTCGGTCTGATATTTCACAGTACAGACCTCACGCTAGGTCAATAAGCCGTTATTATACAACTATTAGTATTAAATATTATATAATACAAATCACTCGGGTTTTGTTTATTGTCGAACTGTCGCAATACACTTAAGAATCCTTGGGTTGTATAGGCTACATGTTCTTGGAACATGCACAAAACTATACCCTTAGAGGCACCACACTAGCCAGATTTTTATGCTTTAATGCTTTAGTAAATTAGTATAGGTAATCGCATGGGGCCGAGTAAAATTAAGGTTTAATTTCACGCGAGTTTTCAAAGCGGTTTCACAATTTGTAAAACTTTGAAAACACAAGTGAAATTAAAACTTAATTTTACGAGGAACTATGCGATTACTAATCAGACATACAGTGCAAAATTTATTCGTAAGTTAATTGTGAACTTGTCAAGTTCTTGAACCTCGTATGTCTCCATGTCTTCGCCTTTTCCCCGATGTTTCGTAGTGCTGCCCTGGCTGTCAATTTCTTAAATACTCCAACCAATAAATTTGTACTTTTTCTAGTGTTCAAGTTTTCACTAGAAGTTTTTAATTCTTCAATAACATCATTATCCGCGACGACAAAGCGAGAAGCCATTGTTTTTATTGCTATTTAAAACAAGAAACTTCCCGCGCTTGCGTCTCAGCCAATCAGGTAGAAGTAATTTTGCCCTGAATTGAGAAAAAATGCCCTCGACCTCATTAGCCAATCATATGAGTAATTTTGCCCTCTATATGATTACTCCCAAAACAGTATATAATTACACTATACCAGGAGTAAATATTTCGGTTTGTAGAAACTGTCGGCGGTTTTAAAGAACATTTAGAAAATCCATATATTTATGAGAAACAGCAAGTAATGAAGTGAACTGACTTTATTATTGAATTGAGGGTACATACAAATTAAAGTAAGTTAGTAAACTAAAGTTTGATGGTCAAGATTAGATAGAATTATTAGAATACCACGTGACTCTATGTATTATCAAAAATGGTTGTATCACTGAATATTAGAGTTATATTTAAGTAAATGATACCTAGTTAGTTAACATGCACTACAAATGGTATGTATACACGATCCAGCATTGCCAAGTTATTTGTAAATAGGATTAGTACGCATCTTCCTGTCATCATCGCCATTCGGTACCCACAGCATGCCTGAAGAAGCTGGACTGTGAGATCTCCCGTTCTCGGCCAGGAGAACTGGAGATCTATCAGGTGTGCGGGCAGCATTGCGAGTTACCACGTATGTAGGCTGCTCCGCTTCGTAGGCCACAGGACTAAAAAAATACGACAAAAAGTGTTTTAAATTTATAGCTTCCTATAAGGATGGATCAATAGTTCCATGCTTTTCACACAAATTTGGATCAAACGAATGTGTCAAAAGGTAACATTCTAGAAAATTCTAACTCCCCGATCCGTAGGCGTCCGACGAAGGTAGTTTTGGAAAGTTAAGTTACAAAGTTTCGAAATGCTACAAAGTTTCGAAGTATACAAGTTGGTACTGATAACACTGAGAAGCTTGCCGATTAATTTACCGTAGCTGCCAATGAACATATGTTGTTTCGTACTTTCGTGTGGACTCAAGTTTCTTCACATATCAGAAAAATTCATTAATTTAAATTTCAACCGCTTGATATCAGGCAATCCAGGGGCGTAAGAAGTAGAGGGCGGCGGGGAGATGCCATGTTTTATAAATAGGGGACTGGAATACTTCGGTTCCCCCGAAAATAATTTTAAAAAATAATTAAAAATTGCGATGATTGCATGGCAAATAATAATAATCCATGCTGACTCAGGATAGCATATAGGCTCACAAATTGTAATGAAAGAATTAATGAGAGGGCCTAACGAAACAGGTCTAGAAAAATCTGAGAATATAATTTAAACCCTCCAAGTTATCAAGCTTCCTCTGACGCCCCTGAGATAATCTTCACTCGAAGAAACAAACTCAATGCATAATAATAATGTAATTAGCAAAGAATTATGTACATTGTAATGTATCATTTCATTATTAATCAATTATCTCTTTAATATTTTGTTTCTGGTGTTATGCACTCATGTTATGTTTGTGATGGTGTCTGTGTGATGGTGTCTGTGTGATGGTGTCTGTGTGATGGTGTCTGTATGATGGTGTCTGTGTGATGGTGTCTGTGTGATGGTGTCTGTATGATGGTGTCTGTGTGATGGTGTCTGTGTGATGGTGTCTGTATGATGGTGTCTGTGTGATGGTGTCTGTGTGATGGTGTCTCTGAGTGTATCCACACCGAGCAAGCTGTTTTTCGAGCTTTGTGTTTTTTTTTTATATATGGAGGTTTTCGAGTGCTAGCCTGCGTAGCGGCTCTCAGGGGAGGGGGAGGGACGGAAAGGGGAGGAAAGGTGCAGGCAATTTGAGTGCAGAAGTAGATGTTGTTGCTCGATCTCGAAATATATCGGTATCAATCACGTGGGACAAAGCGTTAATTCATTGTGTAATTCAGAAACTTGACCGGAATTTTTAGCAATAACCGATTTTTAGTTTCTTCTTACCGTTTCACATGGTACTGGGCGGCGCTTTCGAATCCATTGTTCTGCCTGGTTCCTCTTAAACTGTCGTTATTGTATGGTTGTCTGTATACCAAAACTTTAGCTTTGTGTCGGCGTTTTGCTTTACAAAGCAAAGCAACAGCTAGTAAGATGGTGGATATACCCAGGATGAAAGCAACAACAGCTGCTGCAATAGCCATTGGCTTGATCTTGTCATCTAAACAACAACTATTTGTCAAAATATTTTTCATATAACATATTTTTAGAGTATAAATGACTGAGGTTTAGTTTATTATGAAGTATTGGAGAATCTTCATGCTATAAAGAAAAAGCAAATCTTCTTCAATTTCACCGAAGTAATGGTGCCCATACTTTGCCATTCTTTGCGCGTGCGCATTATCCACCATCGGCACTAATGTTGCGACCACGTGATCATATATGAAGGGGGCTCCACGTAAGAAAATTTTGCAAACATTACGATTACAATTAGCATTTCTATATGGCAAATTTACATGTGAGATTGTATATATGATCAAATGCGCTTTACATCAACCAAGTATACCTAATTACTTACTTAGCCTAGACTATTTTATCTTTACAACAATTGCGATATTACTTTCTTAACTGTGGTTATCCTAACCCAGGGTGGGTTAACTTTCCCTGTGGGAGGAAACCGGAACACCCGGAGAAAACCCACGACTTTCGGCAGAGCGTTGACTGACTCTTTTCACATGAATCCATGGAAGGCGCTTGCCCTGACAACTGCGCCACCGAAGCCCCGGCAGCATTTAGCCGATACAGTAATAATGGTTTCCTATAGATCCCTGCCCAATAAGGGACCGGTCATTAATTACAGGGGAGGGGGGCTGGTGAAAATCTCCCCCCCCCCCAGATGCAAATAACAAAAGGCACATTTGCATGTAATTTAAAGTTCTTATAAAGTGAAGCCACAGTTAATCATACTACCCTATCATAGTTGCCAACAGTGGGAAAAGAACATCCGTGAGATTTTGCTTTGGGGCGCCCACGAGGCGCCACCATAGTTGGCACCGAGTGAAAAATTTTGAAAATATCTCTCAGTCTCTAGATCGTTGGAAATGGCATTTTCAGAGTATTTTATTCCTTATACACACAACTTTTGGTAGCTTTTCTTTAGATATACAAAACCATATTGTTGAATACCCACGAGTACGAGGTTGCATGATGGCTTAATGGCGTGATCAGAATTTTTTCAGATGAAAATAAAAGTTTTATGTAATTTGACGCAAATGAAGTCACTTTTAATAGTTAAAATTTGCAACAAAGCCAACATATTTAAGAACCAGTTGGAATCCGTGAGAATCCGTGAGATATTAAGAAGCTGTGCCTCACCGTGAGGTTTTAGGAAAATCCGTGATGTTCATGATGGATCCGTGAGAGTTGGCAACCATGCCCTATATACATGTATCGTAATTTATATATTCTTTACCATTTATTGAGTCAACGGCTGTTTCAATGTACATGTTTATGTTGAAATCAATTTAATAAATAGTGTTGTGTTGGAGTTTAGTACAGTTCTGAGGCTCTATTTTTATCTGTAGGTTTTATGGTACGACGGGGTCTTGCGGGGCAGGTATCAGTTATATTGCACAAAAATGTTTGCCCCCCCCCCCTTTTTTTGATGCACAAAAATATCTGACCCCCTCTTTTTTCACCTCCCCCCCCCTCCCCTGTAATTAATGACCGGTCCCTAAATTCATACCATATCATATTAGCTGCAGAGCTTGAAATAACGGTCGGACATTGGCTCGACATTTTCTTGTCGGAAAATCACGGACATTTTAATGTCCTGACAAAAAATAGCAGTCAACCTCCTTGAAAGACTGGCTTAACCGCCATAAGCTGCATTCAATCCTCCCACAAAGAACATTAAATGTAGAAGATTGAACTATATATATACTGGATAGTGTTTAGCCTAAAGTATTATTTATATGTTGGCTTAATTTACCCAACGAAAGCATGAAATCAAAATGGAATCGAAACAATGCCGGCTAAATTTGAAACTTTCTGATCAAATTTCATTTTGGTCGGACATTCTTCTAGGGTCGGATTCCAGCCGTTAGGGTTCTTGGAACTCGCCCGAGAACCATAACGGATGGAATCCGAGCCTAACATTTTTGGCCGGACAAATTTTGAACCGGTTATTTTTCCGCCTCTGTGTTATACTCATCTTTCGAACATAATATATATACCGGGTGGCGCAAAAAAAAGTTCACGCGTTTGATTTAGTACAGCGAAAAAACTATAAATGTTACATCGCTGAAATAAACGCAGCTGTATTCATAATAGTCTAACTTAAATTTTGAGCTATAGCATGTTTATTTACGTGCAATATTGACTGGGATATCGCCAAATAAAATTTGGAACGAATTTTTGAAAATCTAACAAATTGGCTAAAAATGGCCTATTAAACTGTTTTGATAAATT